GGCTTGTTTTACAACGTCGTGGCCAAGCGACGAAAACCCAACCCCGATGGCAAACACCGGGGGGGGGCATGGGGGGGTAATTCTTTTGCGCACTCTATTTATTGCTACAAATGTCTGCGGTTCCAAAACAGTGTGACGCCTCCTCTCGTTGTAAGAGTGGCCAGGCAAAGTGACGCGTCCTCTCGTTGCAAGAGGGGCCAGGCACTTCCTCCCTGCTTCAAGTCCACCACAGATAGATGCTGTGCTATCTCGAAGCACCGACCGCTNAACTGCTGTCATTCTGGTCTAATAACCAGAATGACAGCAGTTGAGACAGCTCGGCCGGGCAATACGACTTGTTCGGCACAATTCTTAGCTTGCAATTGGTGCCTAGACGTTGGTTTTGGGCTCCAGTCTGCTGGATATTTATTGAGCACAGACAGACAGAACGACAGGCAGACAGACGGACCGTCATCTTCCCATTTTCACGCCCCCCGTGTGCATTTTCTGTATTTTTCCGCGCATACAGTACGTAGATACATGGATGCATTGTACGTCATGATACCTCCAGACAGTTTTTTTTTCCAAAACAATAAGTGCCCCTCCCCATGGGCCGCTCTGAAAAAAGAATATTCAAAAGCGGTGTTCGGTAATACGGGCGCCTTTGGTGGGGACACAAACAACCTTCCTTCCTTCTTCAGGAATACTTGTTTGATTTCACACCTGCTCTACTGTGACTGTGAGGTTTGCTACGCCGACTTATCTCTAGACACCACCATTCCACCCGCATCATTCCCGGCTATTATCAGAAAAAATATAATCCGTTTTCAAATCAAAGCATTTCTCGAAGAGATAAAGCAAAAAAGTGAAGGATGTCTCCTCTCGTCGCCTCCCTCTCTTCATCTGGAATATTGACGCGCGCGCCATCTTTTTCTCTGTTTTCATCTCCTTTTCTCCCTCTGATTTCTTCTTAATCTCTTTTTTCTATTTCTTTCGTCTATATATGTACTATCTCTGCGTACCCCGCATAGCATGGTGGTAAGTTGGCCGACGTCGCCAAGTGTGAAGGTATGCACGCGTGTGGTGGAACCTGGAAGACCCGCGGAGAAAAACTCTTTGTTGCCGAGAGTCAGGCCGAGGACTGACAACAGTGAGTGGGGGACAGGATCCGTTGCTTCCTTAGGGGCTACTATACCTGTTTTCTGTTCTATCCTTGCGCGGCGGGGAGAGTTACATCTTGCCGCACCTTCCTTTGAAGGAATGATTATCTTCTAAGACCTACACATATAGATGATCTAAATCCAATAATAAGAGTGAAGAGGTGAGCGGAAGGTACTATTATTATATAATAGGCCGGTGATCTGTCGTTGATTTCCCAACAACAGATTGTATGCACCCAGGGAGACACATGTATTCCATGCACAACAACATATTCGCCTGATTGAGAGCGAAGTATCTGATTGAGAGCGAGATTGCGCGATACGCTGTAGCCGGACTACCACTGAGAGGTGGAGCTTGCAATCAGATGCTACGCTCTCAATCAGGCGAATATGTTGTTGCACCCACAACCTCCACAGGCCGAAAAATCCCACGCACGAAGGAAAGGACGAAAAATTGCGCCTCGAACCCGGTTTTTCTTCACTGACTGCAGCAGCAGCGGCACATCAACCGGCCACCAGTTGATTTTCAGTCAAAGCAATTCTTCCGTACTTCTTCACATAAGTTTCGCTGCCTTGGCAAGGGGATTTAAACCGGCTATAAGCTCTAATCTCTAACCCTAACTCTTACCGACAGGTGCTACATACTGTGCTGTGTAGGTTGGCCCTGGGTGGCTAAGTTCCCAGGTAGGTGTGCCGGCATCAGCGCCAGGTGTATAATTTTTGTGTGTTTTCGTCCTTTATTGTCTATTATAGCGACAGTCCCCCCATTTTTCGTGGTGAGACGTGTACTGGTCTACACTTTTCAGCGTCTGTAGAGTAGTACACTTTTCAGTGTATTACAGGTAGTAGGTGCTACAGGTTGATTTCTGACGTGGGTACGTGCTACGTTGTTGGTGCTTGGAGTAGGCCAATACAGAGTAGGTCGCTCTTGCGAGGGAAACGGTGCTCGTGCAGGTCTACGCGTTGCGAGAACGACCCCGACAAGTGGCCGAACCCATCCTGTCTCGCCCTGACAAGAGCAGCCGCTATGTCACTTAGTGAAGATATGATACCCGATATTTTGAAACCTACGGGACTTGCCCGGATGATGTCAATCATTCATGTCCAGCCGACCCGACCACCAGATGTTGTGGGAAGCTCCGCAGATTGTAACCGTATGGTTTAAGTTATCCCCGTTTCCCCGGAGTTCCCAATGTATTTGGATGATTCTGGCTTTCAGTTCTCCTACAGCCACCCGCTTTGATCAGAAGCCGCTTGGCACAGCTTCGACTAGGGTTTAGGTGAGCGTGAGTGCCATCCCCACAGCGTTGTGTTGAGTGTGACGCCTGAGCATAGCATTGGACCGCCTCGTGAGATTGGAATGATAAGCGGTTGAGTTACAGTAGGTATTTTTGCTGATCAGGAGTTCACCTTCAGGCTGACTAAAAGAGACCACATTCTACTCTACCTCTTGTGCGCATCAGAGACCCGTGACCACACCACGAGCATTGACAGTATTGACCAAACATCCTTTGGACCCGAAATACTAGCAGAACCACGCTTGCTAGCAGAACCACACCTCACTTGTGATTGGTTCGCAGTGCTCCGCATCAGAACACAAACCCAGCTAAAAGCTTATATCACAGTTGGCGAACCTGCCGAGTTTGTTTGAGTTGATCATGTCGGACCGTAAGCGTGATACCGGGGTCCCTGAAGAGAAAGATGTGTCTAAGGCTACGGCGCATAGCTGGTAGCGTGCAGCCTGCTCTTGTAGTTCCTCCTCCCGCCCCCCTCTCTCTCGCTCCTCCCTCTGCCTCTGCTGGGGCAATGCCTGGCTCGTCGGCTTCTCCCGGCGCCGTCACCTACGCGCCGGATCTCCTTGCAGCTTGATCGAATGCTGCTACTGCGCCTGTTCTCACAGAGGCGGAACACGTGTACCGCATCACCGAGGCCATCCTCTAACGCGGCTTCGGCAACCTGCTGGACGCCGTCGCCGCCGCCCCCCCGCGCCTGGACAGTCGGACCAGTCTGGCGCAGATGGGGCCGTGTCTACCCACGCCGCGGCGGCTGCTGCTGACGCCACGGCCTTCCCACCCACCCTGGAGGCACTCTTCTCTGGGCCTTCAACGGTGACCAGTGACGTCTCCGTCACCAACGACCTGACGTCCGCCGACGCTGAGAATCGCCACCTCGAGGCCCACGTGCAAGCACACTCCTCGTCATCGGTCGCCGAAGCCCACGCCGAACTTCTCTGTGCGGAGGAGGCCTACGCGGCGGTGGACCGGGAGGCACGCGCGACGGACGACAACCTTCAGAAACGCGTCACCGCCGACGCCGACATGCTGACGGCCCTCCAACAACAGCGGCGGCAGATGGCGGCTGCGGTGGCAGCCATGGAACGGGAGCTTGCGGCGGCGGCCGCGGCCTGTGAGGCGTCCACGGCTTCAGCGGAGGAGGCGAAGCTAGATGGGGCGCTCCTGAGGGCGGAGGCGAGCACAGCGCTGGCTGTGCAACGCAAACAAGTCAAATACATGTGGGCGCTCTCCATCGCGCCCGCTCAGTGGTGGCCGAGGGGAACACAGTGCCGGCCGCCCCTGCTACTGCATCGGGCCAACTCCCCCCGCGTGCCCGCTGCCGCCACCGCCTGTTTCCAGCTTCAGGAGAGTGATTTCCCGCAGCTGCCACAGGTGAAGGGGAAGACAGCCTCGCCGGGGCGCCGTTCGCGCACGCCGCCGGAGCTCATCACCGTGGGGTACGTGACTTCGGCGGAGGCGAGGGAGAGGGGCGGCGGCGCACCTGCTTTGGACACCCCGGTGGCGACTACCGCCGGCACCGCGGCCGACACCGCCGCCGACACCGCCGCCACCGCCACGGCCGGGATGGTGCCACCGCCGCTACGCGCACTCCGTATGACCGACTCAGAGAAGGCGCAACTGATCGCACAGCAGCAGGAGGGGGTGGCAGGAGCGCGACCTTGAGGACAGAGCGGCGGCGGCAGCGGCTGAAAGAGACGGCGCAGGGGGGGGAACGGCGGCGCCCACTGCCAGGGAGGTGCCTGCAGCGGCTGAGAGGGCAGTCCAACGTGCCCAAGCAGTGGAGGCAGAGGCACGCGATGCGAAGTGGGTCGCCCGTGTGCAACAGTACAAGAAGCACAACACGGGGGTCACGCTGGAAGAAGCGGTCCACCGGGTGTGGGAGTCGTATGTCACCTGCTTCTACCTGTACCACCCCGATACGGCCCCCGCCCCGCCCAGCGACCCACCTTCGTGGTACCTCGGGGCGGTAGCGGCGTCGGCAACGTCGCCACGGCACCCATGGGCTCATATCGAGGCGGCGTCGCCGGGACCGCCGCCGCCGGAGAGGACAGCGGCGCCGCAGCCCCCTGCACCGGTTCCCGTAGTCGCCAGCCCCGCACCACGGCGCTATCAGCACTTACGCCACGGAGCCTCGTCATCATCTTCGCCGCAGGGGTCGCCCCCGGTCGCCGGGACCGTCGCCGCCGCTACACCCGGCCACAGCACCGCCGTCGCTGCCGCCACATTACACCGGCGATATCAGCACACCCGCCACGGTCCACCGCCCTCCCCGCCGTTGCCCCTGCTCGCGACAACGACCGTCGCCCTCGACGCCCGTCGCCCCACCGTCAGCACCATCCCCAACCACGGCCACCGCGCCACCGCCGCTGCACCCACCAACAGCAGCCACCGATCCACAACCGCCGCCCCCGTCAACAACGGCCACCGCCCCGATCCTGCCTCCACCCATCACGGTCACCTCCCCACCGCCGCCCCCGATAACACACGACGCGGCCACATCATCCGCCACCACAACCTGCCCCCCTGTTCTGATCGAGCCCCCGCCCCCATCTAGCAACAGTCACGGCCGACGCCGGCGCCGGCGGCCGCGCCGCGCGCCCGCACCGCGACGCCGCCAGCAGCACAACCAAGGTACCACGTCCGCCACACCAACATCCCGTCTTGGCCGGCCACCTCCGCAGCGCTGGAGGCCGACCCATCGCGGGTGCAGGACTCATCAGCCCTATGGGCCGCCGCCGCCGAGATCGACGCCACAAGATCTCGGAGGCATTCCGCTTCCTCACCCACCACCGCCGCGCCCGCGTCAGCGCCGTTGGCGGTCGCCGCTCCATCACGGGGACCGGCACCGGAGCCGTCCTCAGCATTCGTCACCGCCATGGGGGAGGGGCCCGCTTCGTCACCGTGGGTGACCTCGACGCGCGACCCTGGAGTATCGGAGCGAGAGCAGCAGCTGGAGCGGGAGGTGCAGCGGCTAGCGGAGCAGCTGGCGGCGGCGGAGGTGGGGG